TGTTTTATTGTTTTTTTTTTTAAAAAGCCCTCATCATGAACTAAAAAATATTATTTTTCCAAAACTCAGTTATGTGTTAGTTCAACAAACACTGACATTTCTAATACGCACGTGAAATGATTGCTTTTGCACGTTCAATAACCATCACTGTGCATGAGATTTAGTGTTTTATCAATTTTCCATTGAACGAATACTGTTTGGCGGGCTGCAAAAGCTATTATTTTTGGTTTGCGAATTAACATAACACAAGTGTACTACCAACATAGAGTATAAAAACAACACTTTGAACAACTACATGTTCTCGTTCCCTTTACATCTTTTTTTAACTAATAAAATAGATGATTCAGAGACGACTTTGCACGTTTCGCATTTTTCTACGTTTCGTACACTATATATTTATACGCAGCAAAATGTGAAACGTGCCAGATATGCTAAATATGCATGCAAGTCTGTCAAAGCTGACGTCGGGAGTCAGCATTGACAAAAGTGTAAAATTAAAAAAAATATGGTTTCAAATGACTTGTGTTAATCATGTATGATCAACGTTCTGCTAAAGAGTAAAATGTTTCCCGCATTCGTATTTCTGAAAACTACATAAAAGGTAATACTGTAAAGGGGGTAATTATTCACTGGGTTTTAATTTAGCTTATTTCGCTGACTGGAAAAATGCGCTAAATTAAAACACAGTGAATATGTAAAATTTAGCATAGAACACATTATCTAAATGATAAAACCGTGAATTTAAAACCCACTGAATATGCCTGAAATGGTAAATCAGTGAAATTTAAACCCAGTGAAAATTAGTCATTTTACAGTAGACTTTCCGTTCACCGCGAGATCCCGCTTTATGCGTGAAATCGAAACCAATGTCATCGTAGCGCCGTACAATCTCCTTCCCAGAGGCCTTTGCGCTTTACGCAATGATAAGTAACGCGCATCGAACTGTGCGGAGTTCGAGCGTCGTAGTGACGTCAAGCCATTGCGTGGGATTCGACAAACACGGCACATTTGATGATGGTCAATTTTGGTGAAGTAAGGATATTTCAATGCCATATTCTCTTTTGAAAAATCGGCGTTTCCACATTGAGCTATAAAAAAGAAATTCAAGTTGAAAATCAAATCATTCGATTTTAGCTGGAGACGTTCGGTCCGTGCCTTTCACGGTACGATTACACGAGATTTCACAGTGAACGAGAAACCACCTATTATTCAAAAAATAGTTTTTCTAAGAAATGTCACGAACCGATAAATGGCATATTGCTATCATTCCATGTTATGTCGTGTCCGTTTTTTCGTACTGCAGATTACATATATACTGTATTATATACATGCACAGACATACAACCCTGCGTATGTAGGTCTACCATCATGAAATGTACCACAGCACTGTGCGAGTGCAAATAATAACGGATCAGACGGATATCTGCTTGTTATTCATGTTCGGAACTCAATTTGCCAGTTGACAGACAGACACCCTGCAAAAGTTTAGTGTGTAATTTAGGGCGTTGAGGTTACACGCTTGGAGTGACATCGGGCCGGATCGAAGTCAGTCTCCGGCCCCGAGGATATATTGGGCCAGCTGGGGCTGAACGATTCGTTTCTTTCTTGTTTCTGTATGCTAATTCGTATTCTGTAAAGACAATATTTCATCCTCTTCGGTTTTCTATTTTTACCCTTTTCTCTAATTTATTTTAGTCTCAGATAACAGCAAACTGTCAACAAATCATTCCGTCAGCAATGTTGTGACGTCACTGCCTTGTCAAGTTCACGTTGACAGTGACAGCGCCCTCGGCAATCTTCAGTAATTCAGTGTGAAACTCAAACTTAGCAACCAAAACTCTGATGTAGATTATTCATATTAAGATAGGTGGTCAGCGCACATTCAATTTGTACCAAAGTAAACAATGCATGTTTTACATGTACTGCATGCCGTGGGACTCGACGTGTCACGACGACCACTGTAATTTTTTAAAAATATTTTAATGTAGAAATATAGATTTATTAGTTCTATGCTGCGATTTACTGTGTTCTTTGTCAACATCGATTTTTTTAATATACTTGACACGTGAAGCAATTCCCCATCTCTCATTTTAACTCTACGTTTATGTTATATGACATGTTAATTTTGTGGGTGTCAAATATGACGTGGCTAAAATGTTTAAATTCCCATCCACCCACGCACCGGTGTGAAAACTCCGATCGGTTTATGGAGTTGGCGTAAATTCTAATAACGGATCCGTACTTGTCTTACGTTTGGAGCCAAGCCAGATCGAGGGTGCACCCCGTTGGCAGTTTTTGAGAAGGGAGATAATCGAACATCATAAGTTATTATTATTTACTACAATCCGAATGATGGAATGCATGGTATGTGGCGATAGGAACATAAGCTTCTGTCCAACGTAGTTAATTTAACAAAAAGGCAAGCTATAAAAAGTTCTTTCCGTCGCCGGTGTAGTAAAACGGGCCAGAATTCCCGCCGTTATGCGCACACATACCTAAACGTGTTTGTTACGCAAACGTTTTGGCTGACGCTTTTACAAGCTGGACATTCTTGGATGTCCTGTTTATTTTTTTAAACTCAATAGCCCCTTAAATAACGAGTACTTATTTACAGGAGCGATACAAACAAAACTACAAAGAGTTGTAACTACTATGAAATTAATTAACTGAAATACAATAATTATCAAAATATCTAAAACTGAGGTAAAATACAAAGGTACTTCTCAGAACTAGAATTGAATGAGAAAACAGAGAACTAACTCCTAATTCTCCATGCAATAGAATTACATAGATGTTCCATGTATTTTAGTTCAATCACAGTCCCTCTAGAGGGACTGTGGTTCAATGTAGCTATGTTGATGATGTAGTATTATGAATACTATGCGTTTGGTTGTTTGCTTTTAAGCGTGGTGATAAATGTTTAAGAACATGGCCAGATATTGGTGTGTACATTAAGGTAGCTGTTCGGTCGTCTTAGCCATTTTGAGTTTCCTAAACGAGCATCTCTTTTAACTCGACCCGTCCTGTTTTGTAGTACCTGTAGTAAATAAAGACAACCCGTACTAGTACCCGCACTATCTATTAAAGCGGCGGAGTCGTCACTTGCGCATGCGTCAGATGGCCATAGCGTGTCATTGTTCGCAAACAAGCGTCTACCCATGAGCCTTTGCGTTTTTAGCGTATGTTGTTATCGTCGCTTGGGAATCAATTCCCGCGCGTGCGCAGGTGAGGACCCTCCCGCTTCAAACTATTCCAATATTAAAAGTGAGGTATTATAAAACAATTGAAAATGATGAAGAGAAACTTTGAGCAAAAAACATCGAATTCTACTTAAATCAACAATTTACTTGCTATTTTCTTACAAATAAAATAAATGGGGAGGTGGTTCTATGATAGCAAACCATCTACGGCCACTTCTTGGTATTTAAAATTTTCAACTTCCTTTTCCCGGAGGGTACATTTTTTTTAATGTGAAATATAATTATTAAGATTTTGAAATTGTATATTCCTACTACAAGAAATCAAGCATGTAACTATTTGTTGCATAACCCCATGGACGACAAAGGTCACAGACAAAATAACAGTTATGGTCGATATAGCGTCGCATAGTCGGCCAATTGGTGGAAGATCCCTTTACACAGTGTTCAGTCTAGTGTAATGGCAAATTCTATATAGCGGTGGCTCATTTCTTATGTTTGGTCGAATGGGCAACTAATTGATTTGATGTGAGATTTACTGTATTAGTGGCCTATTCACTGGGAATGACTCAATGACTCAACAAAAACAAATTTCAAGTTCAAAAAATATACACCGGTACTTCACGGCGTATTCTCGGCATCGACGTCCGAACTGTAAGTGAACCACTTTTGGGTGAATTGATTAGTAAGTGATTCATGGTGAGATTTGCAGCCTTTGGATCGTATTGGATTGAATGACCTTGAATTTTTCTTTAAATACAAGTTTAAAATAAAAAGAGATCGGCGCATCGTCGGCATCCGCGGTTCAAACGTTAATTGCGCTTTGAGATCCACATGTTGTTTGTCCGAATGAATGATTAAGTGATTCGCTGCATGATTTACAGTGTTCGGGTCCTACTTTACTTGAAGAAAATTGCATGATAACAACATTTCAAGTTTGAGATATAAACAATTTGGTAAGTGGGCGGCTTTAGGCCACATTGCAGTTCTTGTTTGGTCGAATGCGTGGTAACTAAATCAGTGATTCGATGTACGATTTGAAGTGTCCATAATCTGATAACTTAGGCGAAATGACCATGGAAATATATTTAAAGTTCAAAATATGTCCATTTCGGTTCCGGCTTCGATTCCTCGAATTTGAAGTTAAATGCGCTCTGAGAAGCATACTCTTTGTTTGATCGAATGAACAATTATGATTTACGCTGTGAAATTTACAGAGTTCGAAACGTAAAGTTTGCATATTAGACAGTTCGGCTCAGCCTCGGCACCTGACGTTTCAGGTCTGAAGTACCTGCTTTGTAGTGGTCGTCGACCTTGCTTCAGGTGCTTTATAGTTAACAGAGCGAAGAGTTGCACCTGTTAGGACTGGCGTCCACACACCACCGAGTTTTGTCAATTAATAATACCATTTTTAGGCAACTGTAGCGTACTTTCGTTGACTCGGTCACACAATGTTACGTTAATATGTGTGAGCTGAGTATGTGTTGGTGGTAGGGGCAGGGGGTATACCCAGAATTGCCTCGTAGATTTTGGGCGACCGTATAAACGAAATTATGCCAACACAGTTATTATAAATTTACAAAACAACATTTTGATTTCAATATAATGAGAACGAATTCATGTAAGTGAACAAATATTTTATTTGTTCGATGATTTGTTGAAGTTGTACCCATTTGTCTGTTCCAGGCTCCCTGCATCGAAATGAATTCTTCCAAGATTTGAAGCTTTACTCGCTTCGCGCGTTTTACACGGGTATTTGCACCGTCCGTAGCAACAGATATTGCATTCGACGCGACGTTCGGCTTGTATTAAAAGTCGACCAGTATCGCTCGCGGTATTATATTTCGTTGAACTAGACGCCGCGCCGCATGGGCCTCTAGGGATTTCGAAAATATTACAGCCAGGCCATGCATAATTAAAAAAAAACACGCAGCATACTGAACTTACATTGTGGAAGATGCGATTTTTTTACTACCTCGTCGTTTTGGGGTTGACGACATTAGCATCGACGAGCGAGTCCCGAGCAGTGTCGACGGAGTTACGAAACTCACGGGAAGTACCCCTTGCAGATGACGATGGGGAACTTGAAGACGACTGTGTGTGCCGGAGTGTGTCACCTAAAGCCAATTTGAAAGCATACCGAGATGCCCTTAATTATCGCCAACTATACTGTTTAACTGGTTACCATTTACAGATATTGCCCGATGGCACAGTGAATGGAACGCGGAAAGACCACAATCTATACGGTAAGATACCACACTGAAAAAACTTACATTAATTTTTATTTTGTTATGCGCTCCGCGTGTTTGGTATTTCAGCTAAGTCAGAGATAGGTCATAACGGTCATCATTGCAATGTAACGTGACCCCTCATCGCATATATGCAATCCAACACCCACGGCTTTCTGCATATGAATTGTCAAGTGGTTGTCTCATTCATTTAATATTACAGTGTGTTTTATTAAGTTTACGCACATGTCAACCTTGCCTCGAACGCGAAAACAAGTGCATTTGTCTATCTTTTATAACGTTCTAAACCACGACTGTTGGAGCTTAGGGTCACCGCCCATCGAGCGGCCACCCAGCTGGGTACGTTTATTTTTACAAATGGTATGGGTACAACTTTCGGGAATTTTACCAATATCTGGCATGTTCTGTGAATTTATAATCTGTATTTGGGTCAAAGCTACTGGCAGTGTTGTGAGATTTTTTTTTTGGTGACACACTGCGTCGGTGAACGAAGACTGGGTAATACTGTAGTCTATTTGCCGACAAAGGCAATCAGCTGGGCTTAATACCCTTCCACGGTGTGCAGCTATTGTACTAGCCATTGTGTTGCAAGCTACTGTAGTCCACCGAACTTTTGACAGGTGGCAAAAGGAAACTTTACACAGACTTATATTTATGTCAAATTGTCGAGCTGAAAAAAGAAAGATTTGGTCGGTAGTGTCTTAAGTTACTAATGATGGGGAAGGGCCTTTCAACGCGACAACTTAGGCAGAAAAGACGTCTGCTTCTCCAACTAGTTGAGACTTGTTCCCTTTCTGTGCGCATCTGGATTACGTTTTAGGAGAGGATTTGAAAATAAACTGGTGTACGAATGCACCAATACCACGCTCGTTCACGTCTATGTTTTACCCCGTGTTTTACTTTATATACTAGACTATGTATGTCATTTTGTAAAATGAAACCACATTAAGACGCACATCCCAAGAAATTACACAACTACTTGGATCTATTCTAATGTAAAGATATTAACAACTGAGCTTTGCTTTTTCAAGATTGAAGTTGTACGCGTTTTAACATTTTCAGACAAATGAGTTATGAAAGCAAACATGTAAATCGAAATATAGCAGTTGCAACGCTTCATTTTGCATCAATGAAATAGCAAGATTTCGTAATGTAGCAGGCATTTTTTTCGTGATCGAAAATGCTCGTCTGGTCATTTTGGCGAAGAAATCATTTTTGGCCCTACGTCACTACACGTAAACGAAACTGTCCGTAAAACAAACGAACCTACTTTTATATATACGACCTTCACAGTATCACAGATGATGAGATTCCTGTAAATCAGTGAAAGGTACATAATGTGCTAACCTTCAATGTAACGGCTAACAAATATGGAGCGCTACAGGGGGCAAGAACTCAGAGTTATTTTTAAAATTGCGAAATGCTTTGTGATAGTACTTGTTTTTTTGTGATGAGCATCGAGGGAATTCTTTGCGGTTACTGGATAGACATATTGGCAGAAATGTTGATAGTGAAACATTAATTTATTGTATTATGGCATTTTTACACGTGTGTACAGCCCCGTCAATGATAGAAAAAACAACAGTATTCATTCAACAAAGATCATTGGGGACTTCAGGCGTACGCGTTAAGTGAAGAGTAGCCACCACATTTTATGGTTACGCGCAAATTGGACGTGCGCTGACACTAACAATTTTAGTGGCAATTCATAAACAGGTTAAAATTAATAATCGTTTTAGAACACAGAGTGGAATTCGTAATTGGTAGATGTAGTCGCAAAAGCTTTTGAGTGGGTGATATCACGTGGTAATACTACCCTGGTACTATGGACGAGTAGAAATGACCCGCTTGTTACTTTGACTCGAATCATCGGACACGTAATTGCAATGTCACCGGTTGCCTCCTTCAATATATTGAGTTACACCACAAATATTATTGTTAGTTATTAATATGAACATTGTGAAATCGATAACCCATCCTCTAACCTTCGATTCCCATGCACATGAATCAGTCTGTGTATGTGTTCTGGCATATTGGAATGGACTCAACGGAACACTTCGTGGACTGAGATTTACCCCACGCTTGGACTGGCTGTCAGTGCTGGTAACACCAGTTTTTAAAATACAGCATCTGAAGCTGAAACTCACACTATTTTACATTTGATGAGTTAGGCAGACACCATATGCATGTGTCCAGATGTTCCCTGCGATGTGTTTACATACTACACCCACTTCATAAAACGTTACACACGTACAAACACGTTTTACGGCTTCATTGGTGTGGAATAGTCTCGTATTTCGCACTCTTGTATAATGTTTATGGTAGTGTAAACAAGGTGTTATCGGACACTGTCAGGAGGAATGCTTTCTCAATTGCAATGTAGCCACATGGTAAACGATATTATTCAATTACAATGTAAGCCTACTTGAATCGTCTATATTCCAAACTCCCCTTTACATCATCTATATTGACCCGCTACGCTCTCGTTGGTGATCTAAGACTATTTTTTATGAATGTTTTCGATTTAAACATTTTTGTTTTTTTCGGACGAGGTCACAGTTTTCTGTACGTGGTGGACTGTGGCCCCGGACTAATTGGTAATCTCAAGCTGTAGTCGGTTGTTAAAACCAACTTTCCTGAATGTTTTCGATTTAAGCATTTTTGTTTTAGGACAATATCACAGTTCTCATACTGGGTGGACTGTGGTCCCGGACTAATTGGTGATTTCTGGCAGCTAATGAGATAAGTTCGCCATAATCGTCGCTATAACTGATATCATAATTATATAAACATGACGCGACCGTGACGTATGCAACGTGTGCGGCATGACGCCTGTGGCGCCTCAACGCTATGCAAATAACAATGTTTTCCGACCGCGGGGTATTTGACTACGAAAAACTTGACTGTAAATGCCATGTCATTCCCGTATGTAGCCTAGGAGTATTTGGCTGCGCCCACTGATATATTGACAGAAGAGCTTCACACCAATTACACAGCGCACATTGGGTCGAATAGCATACATATATTCTAGATGGGAAATTTTACAGTGCTAAACAAAACAAATGGCCGTCATCAACATCCTATATTCTGCCGTATCCCATGCGAAAACACCAATCCTCGGGGGCGGAGCTACGTCACAAGACGTTCCACGTTGCTACGACGCGCACCGCTGTACATGCATTTCTATGGGCTCTGTGCGCGCTGCTGTGGAACGACGGTCGAGTCGGTGAAAGTTCGAGAAAACAACACAAACTCAACTTTGAAGTAATCCCGAACAACCAAATTTATATATGTTACACACGTAGGGCTAATCGTGTTACACTGTTCAGAAGAGTCTCAACAATCATCCCAAAGTACCGTTTTTTGCGAGTTTTTGGCCTTTGTTTTCACCGCCGCTGGTTACCAGGAGGTGAAAATGTTCTGATGTCCGCCCCCGAGGATAGGTGCATTTCTACTTTAAATCCACACGTGTCAAATTCTCTATAGAAATTATGTTGAAAGAAAAATCCATAAATATCCATTCTGAGATTGTTGTTCATTATCAGGACTTAGCCAGCGAGTTTTTTTCTTCATAGAGCTTTACGTGTTTTTAAAAGACATAAAACGACTCCAATATTCACACTAATGAGTGCTTCCTTGAATTCACAGTATTCATTTTTAAATGTTAAATGTTAAAACATTCGATAGAATGGGGATATATGTCTTGAGATGTGAGATGTATTCCTGTCTTTCGTCTAAGCACAGACCCTCAACACTGTGGAGGAACTGTGATCTAAGGTGAGACTCTTAGGAGCCATACTTGTATAATGACATGGCATATACTGTCAGTAACTCGAGACAATTGTCAATATTATGAATGTTAATCAGGCTTATTATGTAGTTGGATTGCATATAACTTGTGTCTCTGCCATCATTTATACAACACCCTGGTCTCCAAAACCCGTACATAATCCAAGCTTTCACACTCCTTTGGATTTGCTCTAAGGACCACTCGGCTAAAGGTTGTCTACTCAAGCTTGGAATAGGTTTTCAATTTTACGTTCTGTTGTCTGTAAATTCGCACCCAGTTTCGCGTACATGCTGGTGTAAAAGACAATACTTTTCTCACCCAGTAATTGTGTACAAGAGGAATCTTGAATTTATTTACACCGTAGGTTAGTTCCATGTGATACTTTATTAAGGTAGAAGTGTAGTATTTCATGGTCTTCTTTGTTTTGTTTTTTCAAAAATCGAAGCCGCCAAAAATTGTTTACCAAAAATAATATCCCACTACATTAACTAACGACTATTCATTGCAAGGGTTGTCCCTGCACGCATCTGACCATAGTAATTTGATGGTTAAAAGTCTGACACATGTAAACAAGTAAAACTATAGAAATGTTTAATTATTGATATTTTGCTGAGCGATGTATTTCATCAATTAAATGACAAAGAACAAATAAAACTTATTTCCATGGAAACAATTACTTTGTGATTTTATCATAACGTAACGTCCTGTTTTGACCTGAATTAACAAACAAAACAAATAATTCTCGTACCCGAAGTGTTTTCTTTGACTTTTCCAATAGCCATTCAGAAAATTGTTTTGTTAGCAGAGTTACAAATGCTCATTCAGTACTTGCATATGTCTAAGTCGAGTGCCCGGATGTTATCTCCACATTGACATGGCTGTACTCAATGTCATCCCCAGGTCAAATATCACGTGATGTGTTCATTGTATACTTTCTTTTATTGTCTTTTTTTTGGTTAAGTTCTGAGGAGTTGTTAGGCATAATAAGGCCTTAGTAAGAGATCATAATGACTGCTTATCCTTTGTGAAACGCATCATACAAGGTACGAATCTAGACTTCGCATTTGCTCCAATTAGCTTAGGAATCTAGGAATTAGCATGTCGTACAAAGATTGAAGCATACAACAACTAAACACAACAATGACTACAATACACTACAATACAATACCAGCTGCTTTATAATTAATATAACTTATTAAAATACCTT